CCCTGCTGGGTCCTGTGGGTGCAGGCCCCCTGCTGGGTCCTGTGGGTGCAGGCTCCCTGCTGAGTCTTACATTGCCAGCCCCTGCTGGATCTGTAGGTGCCACCTCCCCTTGGTTCTGGAGGTGGTGACTCCCTGCTGGGCCCTAGAGTTGTGGGTTCCCTGCTGGGTCCTGTAGTTATGGGTGTCCTGAGGGGCACTATAATTACCAGCTCCCAGATGGTTCTGTAGGGTTTGGTTCCCTGCTGGGACCCACGAGTGCCGGCTCCACTGGGCCATGTTCTTGTAGGATCTCTGCTGGTTCTGTAGGACTCGGGTCCCTGCGGAGCCCTATTGCTACGGGCTTCCTGCAGGGACCTGTTGGTGCCGGCTGCATACTGGGTTGAGTAGGTGCTGGGTCTAGCTGGGCCCCATTGGTGCCACCTCCCTGCTGGACCCTAAGGGTTCCAGTTCCCTGCTAGGTTCTGTTAAGGTCAACATACTGTCACCTCCAGGGCCTGAGTGTCATTCCCAGCCTGGGAGCTGACCCACACGGCGCAGCAGACCGCTCCTGTCTAGCCTGCTGCTCCTCTCAGCAGTGTATGCCAGTCAACCCACCTGTTCTGCTCCCCACTCTGTCTCTGGTGATCCTCTCTTCACACACAGCCACACACACCTCTGGCCTGCACCCCAGTTTTTCTTTGTAAAAATAAATAAAGAATCCTGGTGATGCCTCCTTTCCACTCTTCCTCCTCCTCACGCAATCACATATCTGCTTTCTGTCACTACAGTTTCAACTTTCTAGAACATTGTACAACTTTCTAGAACATTTGGCATGACTTTGCATCTGGCTTTTTTATGCAGCATGATTACGTATAGGTTCATTCCTGTTGCATGTGTCAATCATTTGCTCAGTCCCCATTTTCATCTAGTGTATGATTAAACCACAGATCATTTTTTCGTTTACCTGTTGACAATTGTGCTGCTTTCGGTTTGGGATTACTGGAAATAAGCCTCTGTAGCTATTCATAATAGTCCTCATGGGGACTATGTTTTCATTTCTCTTGGGATGATATCTAAGAACAAAATGACTACATCATGTGGTTTCACATTTTAAGACACTTGCAATTGTACCATTTTACTTTCCAGCAACAGTGCCTAAGAGCGACAGTTTTCCTCCATGTCCTCACCGACACTTTTCACGGTCAGTCTTTTCATTGTAGTTCTTCTGGTAGGTTTGTAGTCACACTTTGGTGTAGTTTTCCAAATGCATAATGATGCTGAAAACCTTTCAGGTGCACCCTTTTTGGTGAAGTGTGCACCCAACTCCCATTTTAAAATTGTGTTCTTTTGAGTTTCTGAAGTATTTTATATGGTCTGGTGATAAATCCATTATAAATTATACCTTTGGTAAGATTTTTTCCTACTTGTCACCTGCCTTTTCATTCTTTATCAGTGTCTTTTGAATAGGAATTTTTAATTTTTAGGAAGCCCAATTTATCAATTTGTTTTTTATGGATCATGATGTGGGTGTTCTATCTAAGCATATGGTAGATTTCACAAGTGAAGCCATCTGGGCATGGAGTTTTTTTCCTGTGGAAAGGTTTTTAATGCAAAGTCAATGTTTTAAATAGATAGATAATAGGTATTTCGAGGTTATCTATTTCTTCTCAAGGTAAGAGAAGGTAGCTTTGGTAGTTTGTGTTTTTCAAAGAATTTGTTCATATAGTCAAATATATACTCATCGAACTTGTACAATTTGTTGATAATATTATCTCATTGTCCTTTTAATTTCTTGACAATCTGCTGTGTCAGAGAAGTGAAAAGGCCAGGCGGGCTGCTTCCAAGATGGCAGAACTGAGCTGAGCCTCAGGTGTGGCTGCCAAGGTCTCTCTAGGGGTAGGAGCTCTATCCTAAGATCCTCCCAATTATTGAGTGTCCCTCAGTGCCAGCACACAGCACTGGCCGCTTGGCAGGCATGATCTCACTGAATCCCTACACGAGGCTGGGAGTTAAGCGTCCTCTTTCTAATCCCAAGACCCACACATCCCCCACACTCAGGTGAGGACCCCAAGGAGTCTGGGAATCAGGCAGGCACACAGCTAGGCTCCACCAAGATCCTGGCTTGAAACACTGCCGCACAGTTTCACTGTGAATCCTTGCCCTGAATCCCCTTATCTCTCTCCCTGTCCAACACAACCTCGAGTGTCCTGAACAACTGCTTGTTGACTAGCTGAACTGTGCTCAGCTTGCCTGGAGAGCTCCAGTCGTTCCTGCCTGGCATGAGAACTTCTTCCCCTGTCGTAGGAGCCTGTGAGCTGAGCCAAGGGAGCAGCAGCCAGGCACAGGTGCTACAGCCTGAGGGCCCCATGCAGGTACGGGAGGGCGAGTCGCTCCTGCTGAGGTGTTCCGTAACTGGCTCCTGTATAGACAACATGATAAAATGGGTCAAGGTGAGCGATCAGCGCCAGCAGGAGATTTATAACTTCAAACATGGCTTCTTCCCCGGAGTGACTCCCTTGATCCAGCAGACACTGGAGCCATACAATTGCGACTATTCCATCTATCTCCACAACGTCACCAGGGAGCAGGCTGGCACCTACCACTGCGTGGGGTTTGATGACTCAAGAAAGAACTCAAATGTAGATCTGGATGAGGGCACCTCAGTGCTTGTGAAGGGTGAGTACGGGGCTCCCATCTGTCTCCCAGCATCAGTCACCTTTTCCCACCACCTTGCTGCACACACAGACTCCCAGGAATATACCACCATTAACACAGAGCCGCCTCCCACTTACAGACAGTTGGGGTGATGTTGCTCCATTCTGGGACCCAGACTGGAGAGGCAAAGCTCCTCAGGGCGCCCAGGAGGCAGAAGCCCAGCAGTCACATTCCAATGTCCTAAGCGCATTTCCAGCTTCTGCTCCCCTAATGGCTGCTTACAGCCCATTGGCAGCAGTGAGTCACCTTGCTAAGTGCCAAGTCCAGAGAGAAGCAAGTGCCCGCCGCTGGGAGGCCATGTGAGAGCAGTGGTACCTGGAGTACCATGCGACCAGAGGATGTCGAGGTACCTAGAGCTGATCCTTCCCTCCCTGCATCATCAGCCATCTTACCTCTGAGTTCAGTAGGGGTGACCTCGAAACCCAAATCCTGGGACTGTCACTCAACTAGAGTGTGTTCTTGAATCAGTGACATAATTTCTACATACTTCAGGTGCTTGGTTGGTAAAACAAACAACATAATTCCTACTTCAAGGGGCGTTCACATATGGAAGATAGAAGAAAGGATGTTGGTGAAGCTATCCTGTGAGCTGTTAATACAAAAGACTCTGGGGTGTTGGAGGGTCATTTTAGCATGAAGTAAGCATTTCTGGCTCACTTCCCAGTGTGACAGGTGCCTCACTGGTGTCCTCTGGTCTCCAACCTCAGAGAGATTGTCTAGGCTTTCACCACCATCAGAGTGAGCACTTGGTAAGGGCCCCAGTTCCTACGACAGGGCTCAGGAGTGGCAGGCGGAAAGGTGTGTGTTCTCTGAGCTTCCCTCTCCCCCAGTTTTAGCATCTGTGTTTCTGTACTGAGTAAATTAACTAGTGAATGATGAGGGAATGAGAAGGGAGATCAGAGGACAAAAGAGATAGAGGGAAAGCAACAAGGACTCTCTCTTTGGCTTCAGGAGCTGGAGACCAAGAGCCAGACCTCTGGATCATCCAGCCCCAAGAGCTGGTCCTGGCCACTACTGGAGACACTGTCTTCCTGAACTGCACAGTGCTTGGCGATGGTCCTCCTGGTCCCATCAGGTGGTTTCGAGGAGCTGGTCCAAGCCGGGAAGCCATTTACAACTTTGGAGGCATCTCCCGTCCTAATGTGACAGGGGTTCAGGCCTCCAATGTTGATTTCAACATTCTTTTCCAAAGCATCTCCACTGAAGATGCTGGCACCTACTACTGTGCAAAGTTTCAGTGGAGACCCAACAGGCAATACCTGTCTGGGCAGGGCACCAGGCTGAGAGTGAGCGGTAAGGCACAGAATGTAGGACATTACCGCGGGGGAGGGGGAGCGCAAGGGGAGGGAGATGGCCCATAGGGAGCTTTGTCCCAAATAAGCCAGGTCTTCTCAGCCTCCTTGACTTTACATAAGCTCTTACCTCTGCCTGAAATGCTTTCTTTTTCTCTGGAGAACTCCTATTCATCCTTCAAGACCCAGAACAAATAGCCCCTCCTCTGTGAAACCACATTGGGTGGTTAATTTCTCCCCATTCTGAGCTTCACGGAAATTTGACTAGACCATTAATGATTCAACAAAAATCTACTGTATGCCTGTTAACTACTCCATACTCTGCCTAGGTGCTGTAGACACTGCAAAGAATCAGACATTGTCCCTATCCCAAAGATGCCCAAGCAGGTCCAATTAGATTTCATAGCCCCCAGTATCGACTTTTAGCTCTTATCCCAGGTAGCAACTGCCAGACTCATCTAAGTGACCCCACTCCTAGCACTGGACTCAGGAGTGGCAGGACAAGGAAAAAAAGGGGAGAACATGAGACCATCTTTCTACCTTGCAGCAAATCCCATATCTCTCCAAGAGGCAAATTTTACCAATGAACATTGGCCATACAGGATATCTGTATCAGGTGAGTATAGCTCCCTCCAATGGAGTTAGCCAATCCCCCACAAACAAAGGGGTTCAAAGTTGGGTTGGCCATGGGAAGGGGGTGGTTTCAGACTTCTAGGTCTACCTGCCACCAAGAAAATTAACAGGACTCCATCTGAACCACAGAAACTGAAATCTTAATGAAGAAAACACTAATAGCCAGTGCTAGCTTTTCAGTGGGTAATATGAAAGATAATGCACCCCCCGTGATTCTGTGCAAGGATTCACTGTGAAGCTGTGCGGCAGTGTGGCAGAGCCAGGCACCGTGGAGAGAGCCTAGCTGTGGAGTTGCCTGATTGCGGGACTCTCTGGGGTCCTGACCTGTGCATGGAGAATGTGGGAGTCTGGGAATAAGAATGGGTCACCTACCTCCCAGCCTGTGTAGGGATTCAGTGAGATCACGCCTGCCAAGCAGCCAGCGCTGTGTGTTGGCACTGAGGGGCACTCAGTAATTGGAGAGAGCTTAGAATAGAGCTCCCTACCCCCAAAAGGAGCTGCTCAGCCCCACTCTGGCCCTTGTTGGGAGCAGCCCACCTGGTCCACCATCTCTCTGACACTTGCAGCCCTGGGCAAGTCCTTCCCCACTCTGGGTCTATACGCTCACCTATTCAAAGTAGATTTTTCTCTTGCCTCATAAGATATTTTGAGGACCATATCAGGCCATTAGGAAGGGTCTGGGAGCTGAGCAGCCTGTCAGTGATAGTTTTGTTTTGTTTTGTTTTGTTTTTGTCATCAGAGGTCAGATATCGTCAGGATGAGGAAAGGTACAGGTTGGCTATTGAGCAAAACTTCTTTAGGCTGAGGGCAGAGGTCTCCTCCCCCAGTGTAGAAAGAATGTGGCCCCAGAGATTACCAGGCAGCTCGGCCCAGCCTCACGAACAGGGAGCCCTGAGGTCTGGGAGTCTGGGACCTCATGCCAGGTCCATCCTGAGCTCTTTTCCCTTTGTGCTCCAGTCTTCCTGTTTGCCCTCATACTTGTGATCCTGGGGCTGAAGGTGGTGACACTGGCTGTTACCCTGCTCGTCCTGGCTGTCCAGCGGAGGAGTCTCCAGCCAGAAGACATCAAGATCCAGCAGAGCTGTGACATCTCAGCTTAGGCTAGGGGTGAGGGGTAGCCCAGCATATGCTGAGTCAGAGAAGGACCCAGGACTCTGAAACCATTGTCCTGCCTTTTAACCCAGCCTCCAGATGCTCCTGGAACTTTCGATCTAGATGCGGCTCACCTGGTAAAACTCCCCGTTATGCACCAGCCTGCCGTCTGATGTCGCTTCTTCTGTCTTCTCAGCCTGTTCAAGCCCTCCTTGTCCTCCAGGTTCTTGTCCCTGCTGCAGCCCCCGCTGCAGTGTCCAGGGTTTCTGGGAGCATCTCTGAGCCACTCAGCCAGAGTGAGCCCCCCAAGCACATCTTTCTCTTCCTCTTTCCTTTCTTCCCCTTTCTTCCTTTCTGCTCAGGCAGCTCTAGTAGTTAGAACGCAGGTTTTGCAACTTAAATAAAATGTTTCTAGACATTTGGCAGTATCTAGAAACCTACTAGGTTGGGGGTGTAATCCCCATCTAGTGGGTAAAGGTCAGGGTTGCTGCTAACTGTCCTACAATGCTCAGGGCAGCCCCCACAGCCCTTAGCTGGGCATGGAGGCTGAGAGCCGCAGGGGCAGGAACTGGTGCGGCCCTGGGGCAGACAAGCTGACTTCTACTCCTAAAGCCTCTGTTCTCTCCCCTGGGCCACTTCACTGCTCAGAACATGGAGAGCAACAGCGGACACCTCTGCACTAGGCCAGCCTGAGTCAGGATTCCGGATGAGTGCCCTATTAGAGACCATCCTCCCCCTCCTTGGGGACATTTACTAAATGTCCCTCCCGTGGGGAGAAGTGGGTTAGTATGGATGTTTCTTATCACAACAGAAAAGCAGCTTAAACAAACCTAAGTCAAAGGAGATATTGATTTAATTAGATGCTAATCTATTATTTATCTAGTAGAATTCAGAAAGGGTAAATGGGGTAAAGTTAATGTCACCTCCACCTGCTCCAAATCCTCATCCCTGGAGTCTGTGAATATTATATTCTATGGTTAAAAACAAAAAAAAGACCTCACGGGGAAATTAAGGATCTTGAATGGGGAGGCTATCTTGTATTACCCAGAGGGGTCCTAAATGCAAGGACAAGTATCCTGATGAGAGGGAGATTTGACACAGAAGGGGAGGAGAAAGCAATGTGACCCCAGGCAGAGACAGGGGTGATAGACAGGCACAGACACTGGCTTCAAGCTTCTGACCTCCAGAACGATGAAAGAATAAATCTTGTTTTTGTTTTTGTTTTTAAGATTTATTTATTTATTTTCTTATTTATGCATACAGAACTGGGATACAGGCAGGGATGGTGAGAGGATTCACAGAGACAGAGTGGGGAGCAGAACAGGCAGATGACTGAAATACACTGCTGAGGGGAGCAGGACAGGTCTGCTGTGTCAAGTGGATCAACTCCGGGCGGCCGGGGATGGAACTCACACTGAAGCAGCTGCAGCCAGCTTACAGTGCTGCGTCCTAACCCGTTGTGCCACCAGGAAGGGCCAAATTTTGTTGTTTTTAACCCCAGGTTTGTGGTAATTTTTACAGCAGGACACTAATAAATAGCAGGGGAGCATGGAATGGTTTAGTATGGGCCTCCGAAATACTGGAGGTGGTTTCCTGCTCTGTGCTGGAAACCTCCACATCTTGCAGGGTCCTGCAGGATCTAGTCCCTGCGTCCTATCTGATTTCATCTTCCACCATCACCCCTTAAGCCTGACATAGGTAGGGTTAGGATCTCCATGAGCACACCAGGAAACATAAGCTCAGAGGGTGTTGTGATCAGAACTTTGTTGCCGCTTTGGGGAAGGAGCCCAGTGAGGGACACAACAGTGGTGGAGCAGGTAAAACTCTGCTCCTTGAGCAGAAGTCCTTGTGCCACTTCTTGTAAGCATACAGGGCAGTAAAAGCTGATCATGCAACAGTGGTATGAGGAATAGTCCTGTGGGTGGGGGAGAAGATGGGGTACAAAGCTTTACGAGGCACAGGGAAGGGGACAGTGTGACCACATGTCAAGAGACTTGTGCATCAGCAATATATTTGCTGGCAGAGTTATCCCAAGACTCCCATGGGGATAGTCACATAATGAGGTCAGCGCAGCCTAGGTGTCCCCGGGCCTGCCTTGTGACGCGGGCTACACTCCGTGGGTGGTCTGGGAACGCTCTGCTGGGTTTTGTAGGTAGCAGATAGGTCACCGTTGCCCATGAGTGGCCAGCTAGTAAGTAGCCAGCTCATAGGGACCTACAGAGAGATCAGCTAGTGTCCACCATCAGACATACAGTAATACCTGGGCTTCGCCCCCAGAGCCATATTGTATTGCGTCATACTGTACTGGAGACACAGCCCTGATGTCACTGGGTAAGCACTGGGGAACTACCTGATGGATCCTCCTTGAGGAAGGGGCACGTGACCATGGATGGGAACAACAAAGAGCATCCCAGGTAAGAAGCAAGAAGAACAAAGAAACTGTGGACCTAAAAGACAAGGTTGTGTCTGTGTCAGCAGATACCTGAAGAAAAGTGAGGAAGCACCTTGCTCCCCCCGCCCCCTCACCCTCCTACCCCCCAGTGAGGGAAAGAGTGGGAGCAAATATCCAGGCTCTGGTGCCTGACAGTCTCCAGGAACAGCACGAGGAAGCCAAGGAAGCAAGGGGGACTCCCAGGAACTGACATGGAGGGCTGATGTCTTTACACGGGTCTTGCAGGCCATGAGTATTTGCTTTTCATGTGGAGTGAGGTGCGAAGGCATAGAAAAGTTGGGAGAAAAAAGAGACTTGTTGACGGTCAGGTATGGTAGCCTAGAAAACTCGCAACAGGGAGACGGGTTTGGTCGTGCACATTCTCAATCTCCAGGCTCTGGAAGGGCGCTGGGACCTTGATAACATTCAACAAACGTTTGAATAAGTGAGTGAACGAGTAGATTAATGAAACGAGGGGGGTGAGTCAGTGAAGTAAATGGGAATCAACCCGCGTGCTTGAGAAAGACCCGCCACACCTCTCAAGCACGTATCGCTCCACTCGCCGTTAGGCTGCGGGTCCGTGCCGCAGCCTCTAGAGGGCGCGGGGAGTTTCCCGCACGGAAGGCTTTGCGTGGGGCACCCCGTGGGGCGGGGCCTGCGGGCGGGCGCGGCTCGGTTGCGCTGGTCTACGGGCCGGCGGAACGAGGCTGCGGTACTGAGGCTGTGCGGGGGAGGCCGGAGCGGTTTGAGCGGTGCACGGGCCGAAGATGGCGGCGGAGCGACAGGACGCACTGAGGGAGTTCGTGGCAGTGACGGGCGCCGAGGAGGACCGGGCCCGCTTCTTCCTCGAGTCGGCCGGTTGGGACCTGCAGGTAGCGCCGCGAGGTGGGCGGTGTCGGGTGGGCGGGAGGTTGCGGGGCACGGGCGCCTGGCGCATCGAGCCTGTGATAGCCGAAGCGCACCGTCATCCCGCCGGCCGAGGCCCGAGTCAGGCCTCAGAGTGCTGAGGCCGCTTGCCACGCGTCGCCCGCCCGACCGGGGCTTGGGAGAATGCCGGGCAGCCCCGGACCCTGCTCGCCCGGCCCGGCCTCTCTTCCCCCGTCTGCCTCGCTCGCTCGCGGGGTCAGTGATACTTTGGGCATTGCCGCCACCCGCGTGGAGAAGGCGAGCCTGGGGGCGTGGCTGAGGCACCGGGGCTGGTTTGCGGCCCGGGCTGAGAGAGTGACCAGCTCCAGCTAGAGTAACCCGGGCCTCGGGTCGGGGAGAAACCGGGCATGGGGCTTGGCCCACGCCCCCACTACCTGGTTGCCGAGAGAAACTGCCACTGGGGTGGTAGCGCACGCTTGGCGCTTCTTCGTGGGTCTAAGTTAACTCACATGAAAATGGAGGTAGTGAAGTTGGCCGTCAAGTTCCCTTGCACCTATTACAGGGGTCACTAAGTAATTGGTAGTTAAATCGACGTTAAGATAAGGTCTACGAGACAGGATTTTTCTTTGGTAAATTGTTGTCTCCAGTGCCTAGAAAATGTCTGCCACTAACAGTCATTCAGTAATTAGTTGTAAAGAGAATTACAATTGTAGAGAGAAATCTGATGGGCCAAACGTGGTCTTAAGTAGATGACCATGGTCAAGATTTATTAAATACCCACCAGGAGCTCATTGCTATTCTAAGGGCTCTAACACTCAGACCACTTGACTTTTGCATTTTGCTTCTTGAGGTTTATGGAGGTTGAGTGACGTCCTCAAAGCTTTACTGGATACCAAATGGAAGAGCTAGCTTTCAAATTCTGCTTGATTCCATAGCCCAAGCTATTAGCCACCATGGGCCTGGTGGCCTCATTGTAAAGATGAGGCTGTGCCCAAGGTCACACAGCCACTAAGCAGTGAGGTTGGGACTTGAATTGCATCTGCTGACTCCACCATTTGAATTATTTCCCAAAATTAAAAGAGGAAAGACCCGCAGTGCAAATCCCCTATGCCGGTCAGAAGTGTGAGACACAGCTTCTATGTGAAAAACCTAAAAGCTCAAAGTGTTACAGTTTGCAGGTCAGCCCCAGTTTCCTCCCACTGTAGCTGGGGAAGCAGACTCATGCATGTGACTTGATTTGCCTGGGAGGGCCAAGACTTGACTGTAGGCCAGCTCAGTGCTAGCTCAGTGCATGTCCCGTGATTACACACGCCTCCTAGCAGACCTGATGTGTTTGTAAAAGCTCATTGCCTCCAGGTGACTGGCTATATTTCAGGAAGGCACACTAGTCTAAGCAGACCAGTTAGGTCCTACAAAAAATCACCACTTCCTATAAGACTGGTGACCTTGAAGACAGCAGTCTCTGTGGTCCTCAGGATTCTTACTTCTTTGTGCAAAGCAAATGATTAGTAAATATCTCATTAAGTTGATCACAAAGCACTCCTGTATTCCTTTGTTATATATAGAGCTACATGACTGTGCATAAATGTTAGTGAATCCTCTCTCCCCACTTTGTGAAATTGGTAGGTAGTGTATCCCCATTGCAGACTAGGAAATTGGGCCTCAGAGAGAAAGCAAAAGTGGCAATCCAGACTGATCTCACAGTTCTGACTCCTGTCTGTCACGTCAGAGCTAAGAATAATGGCCTGAGCAGACTGCCTGGAGTCAAGTCTGACACTCCTAAACAGTTGTATAACCTCAGTGCTTCTGGATTATCTATAAAATTAGATAATGAATGTACATATTCTAGAGCATTCTTTGAAGATTTAAAGGGTTAACATGTAGTTATACTCAGAACAGTGTGGCATGTAAAATGCTCAACAAATGTATGTTGTTTTTACTAGAACATATTTCTTAGTACCAAGGATGAGGAATGTCTCCAGCCTAACCTCCTTCTCTTCTACTTAGTAGGTGAAATTTGTTTAAGGCAATGTGAAGACATACAGTTATGACTATTGGTCACTTTTCTTTAGCCCATAGATAATATACTGCCTTGAAACCGTGGGCCATCTTTGTGCTCAAAGGAGATATATGTTAGGTGAAGGCCTGTTAAAGGATGCAAAGTTACAACCTTTCTGTTCCAGATTGCCCTGGCGAGCTTTTATGAGGATGGAGGAGACGAAGATATAGTGACCATTTCACAGGCAACCCCCAGTTCAGTGTCCAGAGGCACAGCCCCCAGGTAAGAACCAGCTTCAGGTATTGCCACATGGATGTGCTTCCAGAAGTGAAGAGGAATTGATTCCTGATTTGTCAGAGGGATCAGACCTGCAGCTATGGCCTCATGGGTTCACATGTGTAAGTTTGACTGACTGATGGGCAGTAGTTCCTTGTAAGACTAGTTTTCTTTCCTAGAGAGATTGTGTAGTTCTTACCTTAGAATGGTTCATGGTTTAATCTTGAGGGAGACCACAGAACTTACTTTTAAGCTATTTAAGGGTATTTATGAAATGTAAGGAGTGACTTTCACCTGTGAAAGTTTTTAAAGTAAAACCGCTCACTAGGGCCTCCCTTGTGGCATAGAGGTTCGATCCCCAGCCAGGGAGCTAACCCACAAGGCACAGCACACATCTCTGTCTTCCCCACTGCTCCCCTTAGCAAAGTGTAGTTCAGTAGGTCTGCCTGTTACCCCACTCTGTCTCCAGTGAATCCTCTCAGGCCCCTTCCAGCCTATCTCCCATTTCTTTTATGCATAAATAAATAAAACTAAAACAGTCTTTTTTTTAATATATTCATTATATCATCCTTCATTTTTGTACAGTGTATGGTTTCCCTGTGAAGTTCCCACCACCAAT